GTTTCAAGGGTGTGGATGGAGCGAAGTCTAACCATTAGTCAGGGAGCATTATGCTTCCTGATGCTGCAACTCATGCGAGCGGGAAAACAGAAAATTGTTGTCCTTGCAGGCAGCAAGCAGAATTTGCAGGTCGCTCCCCTGGAGTTTACGTTTCTGGATTCAAAATATAAACACACAGAAGCGGCTATTTCATCCTCTATTTTTATGTGTATTGGCGGTGCATTGGGGCACTCAAGTTACTTGATGAAGTGGCCTACAATGATCAGTCCTCCAGCCCTCGAGGATACGCAACACAGCGTCCACCTCGCCCTCGGCAAGGGCAAAGACGTCTCCAAACAAAATTCGCTTGGTGCCCTCTCCAGCGCGTCCGGCTGCCACTTCCCAGACTCCCTAAATTTGTGTGTACTATCTTACATACATGGGGCCTGCATTCACGGCTTCTTGCGCATGTTTACGAGTTAGAACGTAAATATTATGTAAGGTGACAAAAGGAGGTACTTTCCAAGATATTATGACGAAAGGGGGTCGTCTGTGGGGTTGCATTTGACAAAAGGGGGTCCTCTGAGCCCCCCCACCCCCCTCTCCTTAGCGTCCAACTGACGCTAAGCGTACCACTTTCGACATAGCGCCTTCCCTGAAAGTACGCATGCTTACCTTCAGTGCGATTCTTATGCTTCATGGCGACGTTTTGCACTGAAAATGGAGCGTAATGGCTGCATATCATTGTCAGAAGATTACAAGACAATACTTTGTGTTTTGTGGTGATTGCCCTGCCATGTTTGATGATTGCGACGAGATGATCGCTTTGCACATGGGATGGGAGGTCGCAAGCTTGTGTGAGGTAGATCATGGCTTGCGATCGATGGGCTGCGTTCGGTGGACAATGTCGTTGGTAACTCTTGTGATGGGATGGGGGGCATGCAGAGTATGTCTCGGGATAGGCTGGACGTGGCAGGCTGCCAATTTTCAACTGTGCTTTTTTGCAATGTGCGCTGTTGTGGTGAAGCACTGTTTCAGGTGTTTGAGGGGCACGCTTGCTGTGTGAGCACCTGATTTTCACCAGATTCGACTTGTAATCTGTAATTGATATACCAAACGCACAGAGGTAGTCATGCACACGGCGTCGTAAACACCCCACAAGATCCCAACAGTGCAAATGACAAAATGGGTTCCTCTGCGGAGTCGCCCCTATTAGGACCGCAGTGCGGTCCAGCGCAGACTGGCGGTGGACCATCAGCGCTTCTAACGTACTGGGGGTGCTCAGAGGACACCCTTTTGTCATTTGCACAGCAGAGGACCCCCTTCTGTCATAATATCTTAGAAAGGACCCCTGTTGTGATTTTCTTTCAATACTTTCCACGAGTTAAAACATAACTACGATCTGTGTTTGCGCTGTAAATAATAGGCCTGCTTTGGGGGATTGGCAACCCCTCGTTCTCTACTCTTGCTATGATGGACCTGCCGTTAAGAATGCATTCCGTGTGGGACTCCATTTGCTCATGCTTTCACGTGAGGCCAATTGTTTGCTCCCTGTCCTGGAGGTGGTGCAGTGGCGTTAAAATGCTGCAGTTGTCCAAACGCGTGGTCAAGAATACGTGCTATCTTGGATGGTTTGGATCCGCTAGCCAACTGCAACTGCACTTCTTTCCATGTACTTTCCGTGTACTCTTTTCTTTCCATGATATTGTCATGGACAAACTCTTCTCAAAACCCTGGAAATCATGGATTCAGGACCTTCCTGTTTTACATCAGATTTCAGTGAGCCATCTTGGACACTGCTTTGCCCGGACAAAATTGGCACCTGACGGCTACCTCCTTGCCATGTTGCGTTTAATTCAACACTGCTGATGATTTGGATTGCAGTTTCCGAGTACCTCCGTGGCGTAGAAGGTGACCATCCCCGCCGCCCGCTCGGCGTGGAGCTGCAGCGAGGCGTCCACTCGCACGTCGATGTCGCCCGCGTCGATCTCCAGGTGCCAGGCGCTCCCGCGGCCTTCGTAGTCCTCGTTGGCGTCGTAAAAGGCGTAGGGCGCGGGCGACGCCACGAGGCGCCATCGCCACCCCTCCGCGCCCTTGTCCATTTTGCACAGACGGGTGGTTTGCGCCTGCAGGGGCGGGAAGCGGCGAACATGAACCTTTCAACTTGTTCGTTTACGGCTTATTCGTTTCCGGCCGTACAGGACGCTCGATGACGTTTTTCAACAAGGAAGGGAAGTGGCTTGTGCAATGGACAACCCATGAGCTGACCGGCCCTGGGCAAGGTGTTTATGGACAACACGCTCTTTCCGCAGTCGGGGCAGAGGAGGAGACCCTGAGTGCAACAGATTCCCAGCACAGCAACGATCGACGGCTAACCGAGATTGTGCCGGTGCCCCACGACACGGAGAGTCAATCCAATGACGCAATGCGGCCAATCCTCCGCTTCACCACCCCCGATCACAGCCACCAGCCCCTGCTGGGCTCACAGTCGACCCCAGTCCGGCATTCCCTCCAACTACCGCACTATCACCGACTGGCCACGCCAGGCAATCCACCCACCTTGCCGGCCTCCGCCTCTGCCTCCGCCTCGGCTGCATCCAAAGCATCACTGACATGTCCGCTCTGCTCGGCGCCCATCCCGATAGCCGACTCGCGGCGCAAATGGACAAACACCGGCCTCACGCCGGCGATGCAATCAGGCGGGTCGCTGATTCCATCCAAGCTGGCGCTGCTAGATTCGTTGGTTATGGGGACAGGCCCCTACGTCAATGAGATCGGCCTCTGGAGCCTTTGAGCGATCGGTGGACGACGGGGGGGGGGGGGTGGAAGGCTGTCGGTGTAAACGTGGCGCCTGTATGGGCGAGGCTGCGCGACGCCCAGGGAGAAGGCGGGTGGGCACATAAAAAGGGTTGGGTTGGGTTGCTGGCGCGGGGAGAGCGTTCCGTATACGCACCATGGCCACGATCACGGCGACGGAGACGGTACGGAGACGGTTGGGAGACGGTACGGAGACGAAGTCCTAGCGCATGCACACCCTAACCCGACGCCCCACGGATCAATTCTCAACCTCGTTGTAATGTCGCTGAAAACTGACGTGGCAGTGCGTTGGCTGTCCGAGATTTAAATTTTTGCGCATAGAATCTATGCATAGAACATCTGATGTTCGGTTTAATTCTAGTATTTTTAGGGTTTAGGTTTAGGTTTCGGGGATTATTAGTTTTTTAGGGTCACCCGAAAAACTTAACCGTAAAACCCAAGAAAAACGGGCAGCCAGCGGACTGCCACGTCAGTTTTCAGCGGCATTATAATGGGGGGGGCTCAATCCTGACCTGTCTTTGTGTCTGCCAACGTTTCCGTCACCCTCTCTGTCTTTGACACTGTCACCGTGCTCATGATCCGCATTCCGGATTCGGAACACTCTGGGTGCGCGGATCCATTTTTGGCTCCAACAGCGGCGGAAAATGCAAATACAAACAGGGCCACAAGCGGCTGGAGGGAAGGCGCGATGATTGTGCCCTCCCACAGAAGGGTGACGCCAGATGACGCGCTTTACCAGGTCGCTGACCAACGCGAATCTGCGCTGACGGTGTCGCAAGCGTGCCACGGTGAGTTCATGGGCGTCGCAGATCTGTCCAGTCCTAAATTCGATCCAGTATCCGAGCGCCAGTTGTTGTGGCGAGCGAAAGTGAGGCCAACAAACGGTTTGGGGTTAAACACACACTAGTTGTTGGGAAAAATGCCCAGCATGACCAGAGTGGTGTTTGTCACGTGACGCATGCGTTACATTGTCCTAAATTTGCCACGCATTGAATCGCATGCAATCTGTGGCAAATGTGGGACAAATGTAATGCGAGCGACGAATTCCATCGCTTTTGCTTCCTGAAGAATATGAGGTTTGGTGTGCAGAAACCCATTCGAAACGCGAGAGCCACGTCACATTTGGCTCACAATCCGCACGAGGTCAAACGTCCCACGTCAGAACAACAGGTTTTGCCAAACTGGGGGCCGTCAAGTACGGGACGCCAAACAAGAGCTTTTGTGGAAGGGCGTGAAGTTCATTCTACGACGGCAAGCAAAGAGGCTCAAGCCGCTGCTGATAAGCCTGACAAAAGTCTTGCCTTGTTTGAAAACTCCTTCAAGAGCTCAGTATTGAATATTGATCCTCACGGAAGCCTTCTAAATATCTCAACAGAACTTCTGGGGCTGCCCCCATCGACTCCCACAACTGCCAGCATCCAGTTCACTAACCTCCTGAAATCGTAGCCATGCTAGCGGTTTGTCTTTTTGTCGAAGTCGGCTTTCTGAGCGGCATGCGCTCCCACAGCTTTGGTGGCGTAACGGTGAGACTCACTGCATACACACAGTGAGCTACTTTGCTGAACTCCCTGCGCAAGGAGCTCAGCATATTAGCTTTGCCGAAAAGAAAATTCTCACGCGCACCATTCCTGAGAGTATTTCCTAGAAAATAATCAGCCCTGCTCACTGGGAAATTCAGCAGGCCCGCTTATTGCCAACAGGAAACAACAATTGGGGAATGAGGACATTATCTAGGAAGCCCAAGAGCTGCGAAGATTCTGTTCAAATTGGCTGCTGTGCCAGACACTGGTAACTATGAGAAGTTGAGGGACACTGATTCACAAAATAATACGCTTGCAACTACGCATGAATTGGCCACACGCTTTCTGACTGCGCATATTGAGTAGCACAAGTTCACCATGTTGAACTTTAACACTCGCCACAAGGCAGCGAATTCAATGTTGATGCTGTCTTTCAAGTCGACCATACTGATTCAATTGATTACTTTTGTCGATCATTATGGTGGACCCGTACGCAGCCAAACACTGAACGTAGAGAGCAAAGAAGGCCACTGTTCACACGTGCAAAGGCGTGGATGCATCGCCTGCAGCATACCCTCATGCTGACGACGTCAAGAGGCGAATATCCATTCAATGCCAAAATGCCAAACACCAGATGGTCAGTTGGCTCCTATCACCTGCGCCTCATGCAGCCATGCTGCCCAGCTAATCAAATCTGAAATCATAAAGCTTGATTCCTCTACTGTGAATGTGTTGACGGCCCCTTGCTGTGACCGCTGCACATGACGTCACATATAGGGCGGTGAGGGCAGGCAGTGCGTCCAAGCACTTTAGCCCCGCGTCTGTGATTTGGCCACACCATGACAAATTCAACTGAGCCAGCGATGCATGGCCTGCTAAGTGCCTTAAACCGTCATCTGTGATAGTGTCAAGCCATCCCAAGTCCAACATTTTGAGTGCTGCCACCTTTCCTACGTGTTTGAGACCATTGTCTGTGATTTGCTCGCAGTGGCTTAAGGTCAGCTGTGTCAGGGACGTCAGGCTGCCTATTTGTGACAGACAAGCATCACTGACTTGGGGACAGTAATCCAGCCCCAGGTAACGCAGTGATGTCCACTTCTGTTGCAATTCCTCACATCTCTGGAAGACTTTTGGGCAGTGTGCCACCTGCAGGGTTGCAAGGTGCACCAGTTCCCAGATGCACTCCAGACCAGCGTCTGACACTTGTCTGCAACCATTCAACACCAGTACCCTGAGATCCCCCAGGTTACCAATGTGTGCCATGCCAGCATCTGTGATCTGGCAACAATCCATGGCCTTGAGGTTTGTGAGCTTCGACAGCTTTCCCACATGCTCCAGCCCCTGGTCAGTCACCAGATAACAGTAGCTGATGTTGAGATCCACAAGTGCTGCCAGCTGCCCCACATGCAACAATCCAGCATCGCCAATACACCAACACCATCCAAGGCTGAGTTCAGTCAGCGCAGTTAACTCCCCCACATATTCCATTCCCCCATCGGTGATTCGATCACATCCATCCAAATCCAGTTTCAGCAGGGAGGACAGACCCCTCAGATGTTTCAAACCAGCGTCAGTGATTAGTCTGCAGTTTCTTAAATCCAGAATCGTCAGTTCAGTGAGTTTTCCTGCAAAAGTCAGGCTTGCATCATTAATGCCAGGATCACAACCCCTCAGCCTGAGAACTGTCAATGATGTCAACTGGCCGACATGCTGGAAATCATCTTCTGTGATTCCAACACAGTCAGTCACGTTCAGATCCACCAAGGATGATAGCCTGCCCAACACCTCCATTCCCCCAGCCCTGAGGTTCTTGCACCCACCCAGGTTGAGACTTGTAATGGCCCATGCATCACCCAAAGATCCCAAGCGCTTGCCTCTGAATCCAACCAGATCCAGCACTGCTAGTTTTGGCAATCTGCTCAGGTGCCTGAACCCCTGGTCTGTGATGCATGGGCACGCACCAAAATGCACAAGTGCTGTCAATGCCTCCACATATTCCAACCCTTTGTCTGTTAACTTTGCACACCCAGTCAAGAGCAGGATCTGAAGCGCTGTCAAGTTTGCCACATGAGCCAAGCCCGCATCTGTGATGGCCATGCTGTGTGAAAGCGACAGCCTGGTGAGGGCTGTGAGTTGACCCACATGTGCCAAACCGTTGTTTGTAATAATGTTGCTTCCACCAACATCCAAAGCCATTAGGCGTGTGCACAGCCCCACTTCTCTCAAACCTACATCCGTGATCTGACTGTCACCAACGGCGACCTCCTTCAGGTGCTGTAGGTGTTTCAAAGCAGCCAATGCATGATAATCGCATTGCCTGAGGCGCCTGAACTTTATCGATCGGACCTGTGGAAACAACTTTCGAACATCCAGATGGGAATCTGCCAAAAGGCACAGGGAAGTTACAGAAACTCTGGCCCACTGACTCCAGTGTCGGTTTACGAGGTGAGCTGGCTGCAATAGGGGCATATCATTCCCTGCTGTCCTCTCCATAGCCTCTCTCACATCATCCAGCAATTGGACAGGCAAGCAATCCCAGTCCACATTGGGTAGCGCATCCTGATCAAAGACCACACAGCACATCATCCAAACCATGTTTGCACAACTAAAACAGGACAAAGGCCATGTCCATAAGCTACAACTCGACTGAACCCAACAGCACTCCAGAGGCCCGATGCTGCCTGATGCGAGCAAGGACACTGGTTGACAGGCTTCAGCAAGGGCAATCAACGTAGATACCCTTTGCACTGAAGGCAATGCGAAGAACCAGGAGGTCCGGAGGTTATACAACAAGGAAGCCAAGGTGGGAAGGGAATTTCCCATGGGAACGGTGGATCCTTGGCTTGAATGCAAAGGGAATAGGACAGTTCTGATTCCTCTCTGCCAGGAACATTATCTTCTTCACTCATCCTTGTTGCACCAACCTGTTGCATTGCAGAAGGCACCTATTGGCCACTGCCAGCAATGGCAAGCAACGACCCAGTGCAACGGAGATCCCTGACCACAGAATTACCTGCAAGATCACACAACAGGGGGGAGATGGAAGGCTAAACTATAGCAAACCAACGCGTGTAGTAAGGACGTGGATTCTGTGCGGCGAAGCTCATATCTTGTAGCGTCATAAGCCAAGATGGCCATCTGCATGGCCATCTGTCTCTCGTGATGCACCCGGTTGCTCCTTGATTGAGAGTTGTCCGGCCGCCCAGACCGTTTTGCGTTTTACGTTTTCTGTCGCACGTGAGGACTTGTGCACCAGCTGCCACAGTGTGGCGAAGTGCCTCACCAGCGCGACTGCCTGAAACGAGTGCTCACCGTGGAGCCGCCTCCTTTTTTGTTGCAGAGAATCTTCAACGTCCAGGGTTGACTAGTAAAGTAGAGGAGCAGCAAACAGCGAATAGCGTCTCTAGGAAAAGCTGCTGGAACTCTGAAAGCAGTTCATGAGCCTGGCCAGAAGAATTTCCATTCCAGTTTGGAAGAGCCACAACTCTACGAGCAAAACAGAATCTCCCTCCTCGCCCCCCGTCGCTTCATGGAATGTTTCACCCGCATGCCGTAGGCAGCAGCACCCAGCAAACGAGGGTTAGACGCATTACCTTAGCGGGCTGGCCAGGCGGTGATTTGACCTGATCGACTCAGTGTGCTGCGTCGCGTCGACTACACAGCTGAATCGACTGCGGCGTTAGCATGAAAAGCTGAAGGCTGGGGTCGCAGCGCAGTTTCTAGATGGAGGGTGTCCCGGTGGAGCGCCAGCGGCGCCTTGGGACTCGAGAAGCTGCAGGGGAGGTCTCGGCTGCTGGAGCTTCACAGCCACTGCAGCCAAAACTGGCGACGCGCCAATGACGAAAGTGGATCACGTTTCTTTGTTCGTGTTTTACATTGGATTGCAGCGAACTGAATAAAGACACTGCGTTGCTCAGCAATAGCAAGCTTGCTATTTTACCGCTTAAGCTGACGGCTGCCTTATTGCCTTGTTTTGAGAAAATGGTGGTGGTGATCACATTTCCTCAGTTGTTTTCTAGTTCTTGATTGTGATGATGACCAAAGTGAAGGACGTTGACTGGAAGGTTGACCCATAAAGGTTCGTTGGGGCACAACAGGCAGCTGAAAAGTCCTAGCACTAATGTTTCAATTATGTACTACTTCGAGGTATATCTTCTTCTTTTGAAAGAAATATTGGCCTTCAAGTTGAACGTGGGATATCCCAAAGCGGGGTTACCACCAGGCTTGGTCTTTACATTTACATTCACATTTTTTGCGTAAAAACGTAAAAATGCAAAGGGTGTAGTTTTACGGCTACATTTACGGCTCGTGGGGTTCACCCACGTTACACGATGAATTGGCATACAATGGTCAGCTCTCAATCCCACGATCACCCACAACACAGCGTCCACCTCCCCTCGGCAAGGGCAAAGACGTCGCCGAACAAAAAATCGTTTTCTGCCCACTCCAGCGCGTCCGGATGCCAATCCCCGGAGTGCTTGAGCCTACATGTACTGTCTTTATATACACCGAGTCAAAATTTACGAATTTTTATGCGTGTTTACTGTGGAACTGATTGGAGGCCCGCTGACACACACATTTGTTGTACAGGCGTCGCGCAAGGTGCGCACTCAGGCGTGCGCCTGACGCTTCCCTCTCACTAGTAAAAAACGGGCCAGATGACACAGTCCTGACACAGTCTTCTCAAAATCCAACTGTGTACTTTCGGCAAATGTGGTCCCAAAACAACATAGTTAGTACACACATTGACACAGTTTTAGCCATGTGTCCTAGGAAACTGTGTAGTCTACACAATTTTTTGAGGGTACACGGTTGAAACGGTGTCAATGTGTGCACTAACTGTGTAGTTTTGGTACCAAATTTGCCCAAAGTACACAGTTGGATTTTGAGTAGACCGTGTCGGGACTGTGTCATCTGGCCTGTTTTTCCTAGTGCTCTGTTGAGCAACAGAGGCAAGCGCATGCGGCCAAGGCAGCCCCCCGCCCCTCCTGGCGAAGACCGTCTGTAGGAGTGCGTGCGAAACAGAGTGCGCCATCAGATATATTCGATAGTACCACTGCAATTGGCGCTCCATATCTCTGTGCACTGCTCGTTGCACTGAAGGAGGCGCTTGAAACCGTGGGTAGCATCCTAAAGCCGCTGAATTCACTGGGCAGCTTTTGGGAGGCAACCGGCGGTTTCCGTGCGCCTGTGGCAGCATGGATGGATGGATGCCGATATGGAGTTGGCGACTTGATGATGGCGGGTCGCAACGGCTTCGAAGCCGTGAAGAGCCACAAGACGTGAATTCACGTCGTTGTGCGTTATTGAGAACAAGCGCAATAGTGCTCAATTTAATGGTTCTTTTATTGTGTGCTCGGGCTGCCTTATGCAAATAGTCGCCCGCGTCGTCTCGACAGTGCTGCGAATAACAAATACATAATGTGTTTTGGCATGCACCATTTCAATGATATCATTACCAAAATGACTACAAAAACACTGTAAAAAATGATCTGATTGTACTGCAAAAGGTTTCTCTCCACGAAGTAACATCTGTGTGTCGTAGACTAATAGCCAAAAATCAAGATTTCTATGACCGAGGTTGCCTTGGGAAGTGTCCTTTGCCAGAACATTCACCACTAACGAATGACAAGACCTCGAGGTGTCCCTAAAATGACCTGGGGTTGGCGATCACGCCTGCCGCTCACCGCTTGAATCTGCTGCAAACGAATAAGGCAAAGTCCGTAAATATCGGACTGTGCGATTCGCGGATGCGGTCATACGATTCGCGCCCACGGTCGCATTTTTCTCCCATCGGCTCCCTGTCAATGTGGGGGAGTTGAGGGTCGTCCAGAAATGGCATAAATTTAAAGACACATTAGTATGTTGACTGTCACAGTAACTTACACAACAAAGCGCACGCCATTGGAGATCGGCTCATTGCCATGTTCTGCAAAAAATGATGACAATGATGATGATTGGAGATTTGCGGCAATTCGATCCGAACAGCCCGTGGAAAGTCCGGGGTCGGCAAGAGGAAAGCCGACGCGCCTGGCCCGCGGGATCACGCATTCGCGAATGCGACTTGCCGATCGGCAAGTCCTGCCATTGAATTCTTAGAATGCAATGGCGCATCGTGCGGCGGGTCAGTTGCCGCCGACGTCATGGACCGCACAACCAAAAGAAAAGACAAACGTGCCAACGCACGCAGCACCCATTCATCATCGTCGTAACTATTTTACATAGCAAGACAATGAGGTAGCCGCCGGCGCACATTCAATGCCGCACGGCATGGCGTCGAACACCTGAACGTGTTCTTAACTTCGTTTTCTCGCTTAGTCACGAGGTGACAGGGACCGGACAAGGCACACTTTCCAATGAATGAGTACTTCGGGATCACTGCGTTTGGGTTGTTGTATTGTGTAATATCATCTACTTGCGCAATGCGTGCCTGGGCGGGAAGCCGCAGGAAGCCGGACGTAAAGAAGGGAAGGTTTCATAATGTCAAAACAGACCAGGATGCGAATCAGAGACTCTGCCGCTCACACTGTGGCCATGATGCATTTCCACCCAGGGCTCTGCCGGTTTCGGGCTCGCCAATGCCTCTCAGCTATTCTCAATTCGTATTTTCTAAATTCAACATTGACGGCGAGAGGAGGTTAGAGAAGCGGCCACCGCGCCATTAGAGAGTGATTTATATTCAAGCCATTCTTGAAGCCACTCTTGTAATTTTCGATGTCACAATGCAAATACACGTTTTGCTTCGGTTACCGCTGGCCAACTGGCGAGGACAACTCTCTTGATGTATTATAATGGATAATAGATTCTAGGCATGAAGAGCTCATAGACTCATAGATTCTTTTTGTGTATAACATTAGATTTCAACGATCTGGTCACATAATCTGCTTCGCTCGCACAAAATAGGAGGCCGACGGCTACCTCATTGCCTTGTTCTGTGAACATTATGATGATGATGATCTGTATTCAAGAATAACGGTCCATTTGAGGACGAACCACTGGAGTCGGCCGTACGTGACAGCCGTGGCCAGCTTTGTGACCGACTCGGTCCCCTTTGAAGTAATCTCCTGTGATACAAGGCGGTGCGTAGGGCACGCGCCCAGACATGCCCTTGAAGCGCCTTTGTGCCGTCAAGGAACTCCAACGTGTCGCTTGAAAGAGGCGATCAATATCAAGGCATCCGACAAAGTGTGCATCGACAGACACCAAAGACAATAATACAGTGCAAATGACACCAAATGTAATGTCCATACCCAGCGCTGGGGGCGCAATGGCACCCAAGGCCTGCTTGCACCGAGTTCTGCGTGCGTGTACTGGCTCGGAGCGGCAGCGCATTGGAATCGCCAATCTGCCAATTGCTCATTGGCGTCCATGCAAACGTGAAATACTGCAATATATCAGTCATTTTGATAATTGCGGCGCCACAATTGTCAAAATACTGATATATTGCAGTATTTCACGTTGCCGGCAAAAGGACAGCCTGCATTTAGGAAATAAGCCACAAGAACGGTACGCAAGGGTCGCGTCCCTTTTGGTGGATTTGCACGTGGGTGAATCGACTGGTGGGTTGGTGCAATACCTCTGAAGCCTGGAATACGCTTCTTTGAGCAGCGGCGCGCTGAACAGATGTCGCGTATATGGCGCTTGTTGCATGTCGGATGCCATGATGTTGATGGCTCCTGGTTATCGGTTCTGGCGGATGGTTGCGTGGCTACAGTGTCCTTCGATGCCTTTCCGCCTTATGTGATTGCATTCACTTCTTTGAATTGCGGTCAGAATTTATTCAAAAATTCGGCGCTCTCGCTGATTGCCGTCATTTGGAGGACTCGGCATGTGGGAATTAAACGTGACCTTAAGGCTCATATGTGTGCATCAATTTATGCTGTTGTTTCGCGAGGGTTTCGCAAGCACCACCCTCAGCACACTACCTGTAAGG